GAGGCAATGGGCAGCAGGGATTGTGGTGCCCGTTGGAGACGGCCTGAATCGTAACACGTAGAACGACGGGTAGTGTGGACCTCCTCGAAGCACTGCCATGGGCCGGGAACGATTGCTATAAAATCAGCGGGGGCAAAGTCTGACAGCTGAGAAGACGGTGGTACATGGCGGCATTCTCACTCAGCAGACTTCAAGGCAAAGTAAAAAACTTCAGCGGACCGAGTACGCAAGCTGTTGCGAGGCTCTGGTGGCGGCTGCATTTGCTGGATTGCCCAGAAAAAGAAGATCAGACGTGACCAGTAGACTGCAGCAGCCCGGACCTGGCCGTGATAGGGCTGGACAATGTCGAAAACCTTGCGCATGCATTTAGTCGGTTCATAGTCGTACCTAGTTTCTCATCTCGCACAGCCTTAGGTGCCTGAATGTTTGAGACATGGTCTGGCAGTGTCACCGCAATGACAGGTGGGCCTTCTAGAAAGTGATCTCCGGCTGCTAGCCTCGATGACGAATATTATGCTTTAGCCGACATATAATACAGCAGGTGTACGACTATAGCTGGCTAGATAGGGGTACACAGATGGCTCTGGTAGGACGCTGCACAACCTGCCAGGAGCTAAAGCGAAACAAGTCTTGTCCACATAGTCGCGGAAGAGACTTGGCTGGAGGCAGCATGAGGATAGGCGTCCACTACTCGACGCGCTTTGGCCTCGTTGATGTGCCGCTCTGATCGGTGGCATCTCCATGGCCGCAGACTCGACGTTCACTCGAGACTTTGCATGGGTTGGGCAGACGGGATCCCGTCGCATGCCGCAAAGGCTACGGCAGAACCGGTGTGTGTCGTTGAGCACGACACATCGGCGAATTGATTCGTGCGGAAGCTTGGTAGGGCCATGTGCAGGCAAGGTTCTAACGGCAGACGCATCACCATCAGCGTAGCCCGCATGAAACAATATTACTCCAGATGCTACCCTCAGTTGGGCTAACAAGATTCTCGAATATGTAGGTAGCATGCACAGACAGACGGCATAGCATTTGCATGAGCCGAATACGAGATATTGCGGCCGCGAAGCGAAACGTAGCTGAGGAGACTTGTCGAGGGCTTCGATCCGGCGCATGGATCGTATTTTCGTCCGCCACTGGCGATTGCATGACATGAAGAACGACCGAAGATTGCATGGAGAGCTAAAGTTAGGGTCGAAAATCCCTTTCTTTAAGGGCTGTTGTAATCTGTCAACCATGTTGCCGGGTCGCGTTCTCTCTCGCGCGGCAGGCGACAAGGCAGCTGAAAGATTAGTTCCCCACCACGCAGGTGGTATGATGGTGATGGCGATGGCAGTCAAGGCGCAGTCAGGTTACGAGTGCTAGCTTCGATCACGCAGAGACACGACGGGCGTTGCCAAGGGGTGCTTTGTATGGAGCAAGACGGGATGGTGCCATGACTGACAGGTGCTGGCGCCAGGCTACCGTCGACCTTTGGAAGGTCGATAGAAGCAGTGGTTTCCGTGGCGCGTGGTAAGATAACACGATACTGACCTCATCAGTCATGCTGCGCTGATCACTGCCGTTGATCTCCCTGCAGCTCAGGAACACGGCAAGCAAAGCAGGGACAATCCAGCAGCGCGGTCAGTCGTACGCCGGATGAGGCAGCACTTCCGTTATGAAGGCACAAGTGCGGGAGGAGCCGACACAGGTCGTTGGGACGAGACTGCGATTGGGAGTGATTAGTGAGAAACATGTCGTCAACACGATCACCATGGGCGCGCGAGCTTGGGAGGTGAGCAGGTGGTGGATCAGCCGGAAGCGTCGGCTGCCGATGGGGTTGAAGCCCAAGGGCAGTCGCCAGCCGCGCTGTTTCTCACCTTCTGGATGCGCACTGGGGATTTGCCGAGGCTGGCCGAGCAGAACGGCAGCAGGCAGGAGGCCACGAACTGTATACCCCGGCGGCGTGATGGAATGACACGAAGCTGCAGACACTAGTCAAACACACGGGTGCCCTGGCGCTGTGGTGTGAACGGTGCACCCCACACAAGTGTCCCCTGTATGTCGCGGATAATCTGCGGGAAATTGAGGGCTTACAGAGCAATTGCTAAGACGGCGGGCATGGCCGGGGCAGGCGGCGGTGGTGGAGGTGGTGGTGAGGGTGAAGGTGCAGGCGGGTGACATGTTCCGAGTGTCTGGCTGGCTAGCACATGCTAGATGACGAACACCGAGGAGGGGCTGCTGGTGGCCCGGGCGCGCCTTCCTCGCAGATTTGCTGGAGAGGCAGGAGCCCACGACGGCTCCTTCCCTCCGCCACCATCACACCACGACGCCGCGACCCCTGCCAACCGCCGCCATGGAGCTCGACAAGGACAACGCCAACCCGACCATCCTGAATCCCTCGGATCTGCCCTCCCGCCGCAGCGACGCAACGGCAAAGAGGCGCGATGACGGCGGGACCGGCCTGTTCGACAACCTGATACCGCGCTACAACTACCTCAGCGACCCCTTCGACGACAGCGTCTCAGCCGGCGATTCAGACAGCGACGACGCACGTGAGGACATTGACGAGCAGGAAATCTACGGTAGGCGCGCCCGCGGGCCCTCGATGGCGTTAACGTTTGGCTGACCCCGCGCATGACAGACCTCATTTCCACCATCTGCGACCCTGAACACCCGCTGTCCCTCGGCTCGCTGTCCGTCGTCAACCTGCCAGACATTCACATTCTGCCCCCCTCCTCACCGCTCTCGAGCATCAGCACCGTCGTCGTCGAGATCACGCCGACCATCACCCACTGCTCGCTGGCCACCGTCATCGGCCTGGGCGTGCGCGTCCGTCTCGAACAGGCACTACCTCCGCGCTTCCGCGTCGATGTCCGCATCAAGAAGGGCACCCACAGCACCGACGAGCAGGTCAACAAGCAGCTGGGCGACAAGGAGCGCGTCGCCGCTGCCCTCGAGAACGGCACCCTGATGGGCGTGCTGAAGAAGATGCTCTCTACATGCGAGTAGATTCCCCGCCATGATTTGTCTGGAAGACAGCCATATCACGATATCGGCTCTTCTTTCATCGGCGTCACCAAGACATCATCTCCGCCACACCCGCACACCGTGCACCATACACCGTACACCGTATTCCTACGAACATGGCATCATCCCTCCGATGACACCGGGATGAGTAGTCGCCCAAGGAGGAAAGCCTCGGCTGTTCACAATATTGATGTTGTCCGGCAATATGCAAACCGCACATGCATGCGGCGCGTACGCTATCCCTGCGTCGATCATTAGCGTCGTGTTGGATATAGCATGTTCCTGCAGGCTAATGTCGTACACAAAGTCAATTCCGACCTCACCACAGGTGCATCGCTGGTGGAGGGTGATTTCGCTGTCCGTCCAGGCGAAAACAAGTTTCGATGGCCAAGATGCCCGAATGGGTACGCAGGATGATGTGCCTTCACAGTAACATCCCGGTGATTTAGCCGCGAGCACATTCACCAGCCTTGGAGGTTATGAGGCGAGTGGGATTATGAGCAGACACAGATGTGTAGAAGACTTATGAACAGTCTGAGGTTGCATATGCAATTCTTGAGATGACGTAGCTCATGCTACGACATATGTCTCTGGTCCTCAAGTGATACATTCAGGCGCAGATAGCAATTGATGCAGCCTACGCAAAGCATGAGCAGATTCGTACTGGCATTATAGAAATCTGGTCCATGAATAACGTGATGTCTCTGCGCCCTTTCCCAACTGCCCGCCCTCGTTCTTAGTCTTCCAATATTCCAGTCCTATCCGCAAAGTCCTGCAGCATCTTCATTTTCTCTCTCATCACCAAAATCTTCGCCTCGTTGTCCAAGTCATCAAATCCGTCGCATAATTCCTCCATTGCAATATCCAATACGACTTTCTCCGCTTTGTAACGTCTGTTCTTTGCCCTCAGCTCCTCTGTTTGTCTTCGCAGCTCTCGGAGTTGTGCGTATTCGCAGAGTGAATGAAGAAGTAGTACCGCTGGACTCGCGAGAAGAGTGAGGATGCGTGGAACTTTCGTGATGCCGCTGTAATTGAGGGCCGAGATGGCGATGGAGGCCGTGAGAGTAAGGGAGTATTTTGAGACCGTGATTGGCATGTGAAGTTCCATGGTGGTAGCTATTGGGCGGCTGGCATGAATCTTTGAGTAGAAATGGGATGGTGTGAGTCTTGTCCTGACCAGGTACGAAGAAGTAGACGACGACTTTGTTAGTGGGCAGGCGCAGTGTGTACGCACTTGCCGCTGCCCTCACTTCAGCTCAGCAAAATACGATTTACTGGCAACCGCTGTATGCCCCATAGTACCGCTTTGGTGTAATCACAACCGATAATTTCACAGTGTAGTCTCCCTATACAACCTCCCTAAAAAACAGCTTTCTTACACGCGACTCCTTGCAAACCCATAAAAAAAACTCAACATGCTCGTACCATCTCTAACTGAGATCCTCTACTGGTTCATCCATGCTATAATATCGTTGAACTTCTGGTTCATCGTGTGGCAGATGCACCAGGGTCACAAACGTCTCCACCCTCTTTTTTGCGGCAGCCTTGGAGGCCTCGAGGCAAACGGTAACCGCGCGTCTAGTCCATCCAGCGACGCTATAATTCACATATGGCGCTTAGCGGAAAGCTGGAAGGCTTGGGACAGAATTGGTGCGAAGTAACAGGTGGAACAGATGCGATGGATGCGAATAGATTATTTGAAAAGTACCTAGGTAGCCTGCCTAATTGCAAAAATTTGAAGCGAGATTCGAGACAATATAGCAACGTGTGAAAAGTGAATGAGTGTTTTCCATTCCCCAGATAACGAAGTATTTGATACTAAGAAGTGAATGAACCAGAAGCCAAATACTCCGCCGTTAGCTCCGCACAATCCGATTTCTACCAACCCGCAAGGCTAACGCAGTGACCTTGGAACCTATGAGCCCTCCCACAAGCCAACTCTCGATTAAGGTGCCTTATTGCTGCGCACCAACACCTCACTTCTCTCCACCATGTCGCAACCCCAGCCGTCCGCGTGGCTCGTACTCCCATGCATGCTCCTCTCCCTCCTCATCACCCGCTTCCTCACCGCACTCTTCACATCACACAACGAGCGCGGCCTAAGCACAGTCGCCAAAGCAGCGCTCATCTTCATCGCGACACTCATCCTCACCACAACAGCAGCGACCTCACTGTTCCAATCTCTAGAGACCACGCAGCCGCATACCAGAAACGTTCTGCGAAAGCGACGCAACGTCTCACCCTTGCGCGAAGAGCGCATTCAGGCGTGGCGCGTCAACACTGCGCCGACTCTCCACTGGAGCTCTTCCTCGTCTGATGAGGATGTGAGGGCAGTGAAGCAGAAGCTTGTTAAAGAGAAGAAGGAGAGAAAGGATGAGAAGTCGTTGAGGAAGCGACTGTGGATGAAGTTCAAACCAAGGCGGAGTGAAATGCTTGGGGGTAGGAAAGAGACTATTGAGGTTGTTGTGAGGGAAGATCCTTGGGCCTAGATACCGAGGGATGGAAAAGGCACGATTGATCTTCTGAGTGTATACAAGAAGGCAGGGTTGTAGACGATATTTGGGTGTGACAACTGTTACTGACAACTTCTCCCGTCTGTTTCTTCCCATCTCATCGTAGTTCCCATTTAGTAGACACCGGAAGTACAAAAAGGTAGCAAGCAGAAAGTTTTGAACACTCGAGCAACGTATATCCAAGCACAACTTCAACACCCGTCGGTCAAATCCAAACGCATGACACAACCAGCTCGACACTCACTTCTTCACGCTCGTGCCCATCGTCTCTAAAACTACCCAACACCCTCCCATCACCAACACTCCCCTCTCCACCCCCTCAATTTCTCACCACAACCCTCGACATAGCCCTAACCTCCGCCTCCGCCTCCAGAATCTCCAATATCTCCCTCTCAAGCCCAGCATTCACCGCAACACCCTCAGAAGGATACGCATCACCAAACGCCGAATTTGCCGTCGTAGTAACACCACTTCTGTCGTATAGTGGTACACCCCGCTCCCAGATCGATATGGCTGCCTTCCTGCCGTCCGTGTTGCTCTCTTCGTCGGTGTGCGCGCGCTTGCGGAATAGTCTGGGCAGGCTGATTGGTTTGGTGCGGAAGTAGATGATGGCGCTGATGATGTAGATGGTGATGCCGATGGTGCCGACTACGCATATGAGGCCGATGGCTGTTGGGGTGAGGGTTTCGGTGGTCAGGGCTTCGAGTGCGGAGCGAGTGTGCAGGTAAGGCGCTGGGGGAGTGGAAGATGGGTAGGTGGGCGCCATGATTGTTGAGGCTGTGGTCGCTTTTGCGAGTATATTCGTTGCGTGGTGGGTTGTTTCGAAGGGACTGATTTGGGTGCTTTTGAAAGTGTTTGCGTGGACTCGTCGCCTTTGCGAGTATACTCGTTGCGTGGTGTGTCGTTTCAAAGGGACTGATTTGAAAACTTTTGAAAGTGTGTGCGCGTGGACGTCGTCAACCAACGGAAGAGCGGTTGTGGTGTTGGTGTTGTTTGGGGTTAGACGGAGTCATATAGATGCGCAATTTGCCAGTGGAGAGGACTGTGGGTGAGCGTAATTTCTACGCGACATGTTTCGTTTGCTACGAAAAAAGGTGAAAGGGAAGGGGGACACGAGCGGCCTCGTCTCTTGGGGTCGGATAATTGCGATCTCTCTCATTTGAGGAAAACCTTTGTGTATGGGATGGTGATGTATTGCGGGGGTCGTGAGTGGCTCGTTGTCGCCCTGCGTTATCACGGTACCAGTGGATGGAGTGGGTGGCAACCAAAATATCGAATTGCACATACTGCAGTGATTCGTCTCTTGGAGATAGAGACTGTACGAGAAATAATGCACAGGAAAAGCAACATGGACGACAAAAGAGAAAGCTCGTTCGTGATGTCGAAAGTTCGATGCCATAGTTGAGGGTGGACAAAACGAAAGACGCACGTATGTGGGAGAGTAAGTCGGCGTCGATGGCCATGTCAAATATGAGCCTGAAGGGGCAATCTCCATGTCCCGTGAGCTAGGGAAGAATTGAAGCAGAGCGTGTAAACGATTCGAGTCGAACAGAGAGTAGAAAAGTAGAACAAGAACACAGATGGGCGAGGATATCACCTCGTACTCATCAAGGGTATATTCACATCACCAGCTCTGCAAGCGCTCTTCGTGCTCACGCAACGTCTGCGCTTATTCCTGCTCCAGAATTCCAGCTCTTGCGCTTGGCCACGCTCTTATATACCGTGGGCTGTCATGTCACATTGCGTCCGCCCATGCACGTCTTGCCCTCCTCATGTTGCCGCACGAACGGTCGCATCATCACGCGTTATCCTAGCACCTGATGTCCTTCCTTTCTCATTTCGCCTTGTTCTTCGCCGCCTCAGCCTCTCTCCTTGTCGCGTCTTCGAGTAGTGCGGTGTCAACGGCGCCGGAGGGAAGGTGTACGTATCGGACGACGGAACCGCGGATGAACATGTCTTTTGTCGAGCACTATTGTGAAGTTAGCTTCAATTCCTTCCCATAGTTTATGTCGCCATCTCTCTGGTACGCTGTCTGGTCCGTACGCAGAAGAGAGTCGCGATGCACAAACGTACCAAATGCGGCCACCTCAGCTCATCCACCGCCTCTGCATTGTCCAGCTTGATGTTCAGGTACTGGTCGACGCTCTTGAGTGTTCCGCGGATCTGGACTTCGTTCTTGAGTTCGACGGTGATTTCGTGCTCGACGAGCGTTTTGAAGAAGCTATTGAGCTGTCAGTCGCTGTTGCGTCATCGTGGACGTGGACCGGGGACTAACCTGAAGAAGAGCATTGTGTATATGTGAGAAGAAAGATTGGAGTAGAGACGTCGGAGATACAGCTAAGCGCAAGTTGGGTCGAGTGGTCGCGACTTGTGGTGCATATGGCACAGTGACGAGGTTATGCGCTGCGCATGGACCGCGTGGGGTTCGCGCCGCTGCGAGCGAGGCTGATCTGCCGCCTCGCCATGTCTCTCACTCCAGCACCACCATCACATTGATAGGCAGACACTCAGACAATCAAATATCACGACTGTGATAGACACTGTCTTCAATTCATCTACAAAAGAAATTCGCTATTGTGGTATCAACCTAGTCCAGTCCAGTCCAGCCTATCCAACACCGTCTACCCAAAACCATCGTAACTGTATCACATCATGTTCAATCCCGTTGCCATTACTTCCTCGCCCAGCCGGACAAAGTCCTCCATCCAGCGTGGCCTGTCGCGCCCTCCTCTAGCACGTTGACAACTCCCTCCAATAGCTTCTCCTCATCCTTGCCCATCTCCATTTGCAACCTGAGCAGCCACCTCTCCCATGCCCAGCTTCCAACTACGCCTGTCAACATCGCCGCGTCCATGGTGGTACCAAAGACCGGCGCGTCCTCGAGCTCGATCTCGCCGTCTTCTGTGATGCGACGCTCTTGGTGCTTTGGCTCGGCGCCAACAGCAAGTGTGTCCTTCCAGTTCGCTGCCGTCTTTCCCATGGGAAGGAGCATCCACGCCCTTTGAACGTCCTTGAAGCCCGCCTTGGAGACGCGCGGGAGGAATGTCTTGGTAGGCTGCGCATCGTAGCCGCGCGTCTTGAGGTTGAAGCCGAACTCGACACCCATGGCCTGAGCGTTGTGGCCAGCATGGACAACATCGGCATCCATGACGCTGAAGTCAAGAATACCACCAGGCTTGAGGCAGCGGTAGCACTCCTTCAAGCACAGGTCGTACTCGTCTGATGACTTGCCGACAGGCTTGTTTGTCTTGAGGAGCTCGTAAAGTGTGCGTGCCGAAACGACGTCAAAGTGACCAGATGGGAAGGGAAGAGTCCACAGGTTGGGAACGGTAAGGTGCTTGTGGTTGTCGGGGCCCTTGACATTGGATGACATGTTGTTACCCGCAGTGTAGACAGTAGTCACTGTAGCGTATGGGTAGTCATACGCAACGTCCCACGCCCAATCGTTGGTGGCGACACCACCAACGTCGAGGATGCGTGGAGCACTAGCGCGTGTGATGCATCGCGCGGCAGGTTTGCTGAGAAGCTTGCCACCGTTGAGTTGCTTCTGAGCTTGCAAGACCCAGTGGATAGGCAGCATCTGGTCGAGCGCTTGACGCTCCGTCTGTGCGCGCGCAATCCTCTCCTTTAGTACAGTTGGGTCATTGACGAAGAACTCAGACACAGGTCGCGGTGGCGCTGGGCGCTCTGGCTGGCAAAGCTCGAACTTTCCCAGGAGCTGATCGCGATGTGCAAGAGGATTGCAGCGTCGCTGTACGTGCATAGCCTCAGCGCGAGTCTGGCGGTGGATGAACGTATCCTTCTTTTGGCACCGAGAGTGAAGGTACTCAAGGCCTTGGACGTAGGTGGTGATGGGCTCATCCGCCGACTCCTTGACTGGAGACTTGGCCGGCTCATCCGCGAACTTGACCGACTTCTTGACCACAGTCTTCTCGATCGAGTTGCCGCGGCTGTGGGTTCCGCTGGAGAGGCTGGGAGAGGTAATGTCGCTCATATCACGAAGAGCGGCCTGTAGCTCATCTTGTTCCTCCAGCCATCGGCCGGTCATCTCGAGGTTAGCAGTAGACACCTTTTGAAGTCCGGCGTTGTAGTTCTCGTCATACTGAAAGATGGTCTTGCTAGGGTTGATCTCCTTGATCTCCACGTTCTCATCGGTTGGGCTGCTAAGGAGGACTGGGCGCGATGTCGCCAGAGGCTCATCGTGTCCATCGAGAGTGGATCCGGCAAGAGTCGAGTTTCGTGCCGGGAGAACTGGCACAGCTGGTACAGCTGGCACGGGGTGTGGGGAAGTGTTCCTTCGGTTCTCCTTCTGCCATGGAAGGTTGTAAAACCTCTCAGCAGTTGAAGTGTTTGGGATTGACTCATCGCGCTTGGGGATACTCCAGGTGTGACGAGCAGTCGATTGAAGCGATGAGAAGAAACCACCGGGAGAAGGGACAGAGAGCGCGGAAATCGGTGTGCTACCAGAGGAACCGTTTCCGAATACTGTTGATGGGATGCTTAAGCCGAGACTTGGTCGGGAGACTTCTTGCATCTCGCCTCTAGCCTCAACCACTTGAAACTCTTGTTGCTCTGGTTCCTCGTACTGCTCAGCAGATGGCGAGTTTCCGAGATGTTGAAGAGTCTCCATAGCTTGTAGGTCCAATTGCACAGGTCCCCACGAGTCAACGCTGGACATGGATCCGCGTCTACGTTGCGAGACTGGAGTGGCAGGGCAACTGAGCTTGTCCATCTCTTCTGATGTGAGGCTGCCGTCCAGGGAAGGGGCTGCTGAGTGCTCAGGCACATGCAGGTTGTGAGAGTCGATCATCTCAAGAAAGCGACGCGATGGGGTCAGTAGCAACGATGGAGTAACGGGCATCGCCGAGTTTGCACTCTTCAACTTCTCAATGGTTGGCCATGCGGACGGCGAAGGGATGACGATGGATGGGTAGCGTCTCTGTCTGGGCTGGGTCGCAAGCTTCTTGACTGATGCGGATGCATGGAGAGGTACCTCAGCCTCATCGTCGGTGATGTCGTAGAGGGAGTCGAAGTCGCTGTCAGCACGACTCGCCCGGTTTACTGGGGGATATGTAGCCGAGTGAACAGGAAAGCGCGGCGACGGCTGCGGGGTCATATCGAATAAGCGTGCCTTGGGGGTAGGGAAGTCGTCGTCAATGCTGGCTGGTGACGCGGGACTGGGTAGGTATATCGACGAGGTGGAATATCTTGCTCCGAAGTAGTAGGTGGGAATTGAGGACTCGTCGTCGTTGGCATTAAGTGCCTGTCTCTGATCCAGCGGAGACATGGCTTGATGAGAGTTGGCCATGGGGCCGAAGGTCGCAGGATGGTATACTGCAGGCTCCAGCATCTCAGGCATGTTGTATATTGCGGTGACGTGAGCACCGCCTTGTGCTAATATTACTAAAGATACCTATGAAAATCCGAGTAGGCGGGAGTGCGGCGAGGGTGGTAGGGGTCCAAATACAGAAGTACAGGGGACCAAATAGAGGCGATATTAAGATGAGCTATAGCCCAAAACTGCGCTGGTCAACAGCTTACTGGTAAAAATGGAATTGCTTCGATCAACGAAGACTTGACGGAAGAAGGGGCTCGGAAGAGGACTAGAAGTGAATGGCAAAAGAGAGTAGATGCGGCGCGAGCGCGATGATCAGAGGATATATCGCGCGTAGACGCCTACTCGTCGAGTGACTGCGGGCTAGTGTTACTGTGGCATTCGTCCGAGCTACACTGCCAGTTGGCCGTCCACTCGCATAGAGGGCCGAGTCTGGGTGGAGAGGCAGTAGCGGCTCAAGGTCGGCCACGACATGGCAAAGAGGGTGAAGACGGCATGATTGGCCAGTGTAAGTTTATGGCGAGCAAGGTCAATACCATGCGCTAGAAACTTTGGGCTAGAGGAGCGTTGCGCTGCGCGGCGTGGTTGGGTGTTTGGTTGTAAGCGCCGGGCTGTGCTATTTGCAGCGCTCGCGTTCTGCACGCTTGTCCAATGACGAGACGCAGCGGCGTTGGACAGCATACTCGCCCAATAGTGCCTCGTCGAAATCGATTCTTGCTGCGGGGCTGGATATTGTCTCACGGCCTCGAGTTGGACGCGAGGCGGTGGTTGTGGCTGTCCCCATGGCTGTCATGTAGTCATCCCGTGCCATGTGAGAGGAAAGACCAGGTGCCGAGACCCGTCGCAGCCATCTCGGCAGTACAAACACGCGACCAGCCACGCGGTTGCCGATCACCAAGATATAACAATAGAGGAGGTTTCAGTCGATTTAGAGCATTGACGGCCCCGTTCAGCAAACATAGTTGATTCGAAACGTGAGGTGGTGAGCTGCGCGGTCTGCATGGTCTGCATGAACAAGAACAGAGGTGAGGCGTGCCAAGACCTGCAGCGGGGCATGTATGGAGGGGCAGGCGTGACGCTGATGCCGTCAACACCAAAAAGCTATCGTGAGCTCTGTCACACTAGCAATTTCCACAATCTCCCCATACCTCCCATTGGCGCTTCTTCATATCACCTATACACACCGAAACCGCACTAGAACCGCCCGTCATGTCACCGCCTGCCATCATCGCGCCGTCGATTCTGTCGGCAGACTTCGGAGCGCTGGGCAAGGCCTGTTCAGACACAATCTCCCAGGGCGCCGACTGGCTCCATGTACGCGATGCTGAGTTTCGGGCTGTAGGGCACGCGACTGACACGTGCAGGTCGACATCATGGACGGCCACTTCGTGCCCAACATGACCTTTGGCGCGCCCGTTGTCACCAAGATCCGCTCACACGTCGACCGACCGACCACCGCACACGGCAAGGGAACATTCGACTGTCACATGATGATCGCCGAGCCCAAGCGATGGGTGCGCGACTTCAAGAAGGCTGGCTGCGACCTGTACTGCTTCCACTACGAAGCCGCCGTCTCGTCGACCGCGGCAGACTCACCTAGTGGGAAGTCGGACCAGAAGACATCTCCCAAAGAGCTGGTCAAGTTCATACATAGCGAGGGTATGCAGGCTGGTATCGCTATCAAGCCGAGCACACCGGTCGATGTGCTGTGGGAGATACTGGAGAACCCAAACAAGGACGAGGTTCCGGATGTGAGTTCATCACCCCTGCACCGCCATGCTTTCCATCATCACAATCGATATCACGAAAGGGCCGCACGCGCTATATGGTGGTTAGAGAGGCCTCGGAAGTGGTCGGCCAAAGCGAGGCTGGGTAGGGCTGACCCTGTTGGGGCGTGGGCGGCACGCGCTGGCGCTTAGGCATACCAGCCTGCGTAAGCCCACTGTCAATCAGTCTTGACCTGTGCGTTCTTTCGAGAAGCCTGCCGCATGCTGCCCAACCGACTGTCCATCTATTGGCCACCTGTCAATTCAGTAATCCCCAAAGTTGACATCGGTACCTACCCGCCCACGCCGCTGGCTGCTCCCGCAGGATCAATAACCTCATCTCAAGGCCCGCTTTAGGCCACGTCACGTTCGGTAGAGATTTCATGCTAACATCCACAGATGATATTGATCATGACTGTAGAGCCCGGCTTCGGTGGCCAGTCGTTCATGGCGTCCGAGCTTCCCAAAGTCACCGCGCTTCGACAAAAGTACCCAGAGCTACAGATCGAGGTCGACGGAGGTCTAAGCGAGAAGACCATTGACCAAGCTGCTGATGCTGGCGCTAATGTCATCGTTGCTGGCAGTGCTGTTTTCGGCGCTTCAGACCCTGGAGACGTTATCAAGAAGCTCAGGGAAGCGGTCGATAGCAGGAGAGGAAAACTATAGAAGGGATAACGATACAGACCGACGAATTATGACAATGACTGTAGATGAGCGCATGTACAAATAGAAACGCGAAGAAGCTTACCATGTAGATGCTGACATGCGTCGATGCAATGTAACACAACCTGCCGGCTAAACTCTACGCCCATAGCCACCTGCTGGCCTTCATATCCGCAAAGATAGCAGATTCGGCAGATGTTATCGACAGGGCTGGTATTCTTTCCGCATGCTATCACAAAGAGGGCCGTGGAGGCTACATCGCTTTCGGAACCTAGCTTATCACTTGCAACAGGAGATCGTGGAGGCTACGTTTCTCTTGGAACCTAGCAAATGCATCGCAAAAGGTTATCTTGGCTACTACATGTCCTCTGGCTTAAGCTGAGTGCCATACAAAACCGTACTGTGATATCTATATCGACACCACATTACTCCTCACATTCATCGGCTGGGTCGTTGTCCTCCTCTGGCTCGTACTCAGATCCGGACCAGTCTGCATCCGTTTCTACATCAGATGCTTCGATCTGGTTGTAGGTGCGGGTGCGTCCGGGGAGCTTCGGGATGGTTACCCTGCCCCCATCTCGCCTGCGCTCGGCATGCTCTCTGAATTCCCGCTGGCGATTGAGGCGCTCCCTCCTAGTCGTGGCGATGGTCTCAGCGCGGAGTGCACTGGGCGCTAGATCATGTGTTCGTCCTTCTGAGTCCGTAAGCATTTCGCGATCCGAGGGGGGCGAGGTGTGCCAAACCTGGCTCGCTGTCCTGAAGAAGCCCGGCAAGAGTCTCCTGATATCTCTCTTCATCAAAATCCCATTCTTCCTCCTCGTTTTCGTCATCGGCATCGCCCCATTCCGAGTCGTCGCTGATGTATACATGTGTATCTTCCTGGTGGAAAAGCTCTTGGCGGCATAGTGGACATCGATTGTTGTTGGGCATTTCAGCCTCGACTTGCTTGACGATGCAGTGATCTCCGAAGATGTGGCCACACGGAAGTTGCACAGGGACGTGCCTAATATAGAGTATCCAAGTCAGTGTGTTGTGATAACAAGGGTCATCCAACGTTGCTTACTCGGTACTATAGTCGTCCAGACAGATACCACATCTGAGCGGCTCTAGACCCTGAACGAACTGGTCTTTGGTTAGCATTCTAGCTGAGGATTGCGCTGAAATAGATGAAGATGTAGACAGAGGTTCGACGGTGAGGTAGAGTCTAAGGAAAAGGTCTTGTGCAGTTGAAAGAAGGAGCATCATAGTATGCGCGGAGCCGGCATGAGGTCGCATCACTTTCATCACTCGAATATCCACTCTTGAATTCACTTCACCGTTCACCCTCTCCTCGATACGTTAATTACTCAAGAAATTAGACAGATACATACTGCTGAGTTTCCCGTTTCAGTCTAGCTGTGTATCCGGAAGCGACCATCTCTTACTTCTTGCGACGTTTCGATTCATGATAGACTCTTCAGCAGTCTCACATTGTAGAATGGGTTTGAATGCATGTCCTCGTGATGTTTTCACTTGGTTCATGTATGATCGCAGCTGTGACGATGACGACGTCGGCGGGTAGGTATATAGTGAACGATGCGGCGAAGACCACAAAGACGACGAAGACTATCCAGAATGGCTTCTTCGAGATTGTAACGCGACCCTCATTGTAGGATAACGAGTTTATTGCGTTTTGCGAAGTGACCTCGGGAAGTGAATACAGACATATGACAAGAGTAGTGGATTCCTGTGGGCCATCGCTAGCGCGTGCCCATGCGCCGGAACCCCGAACATTTTCTTGAGCTTCTCCACAACAACACCTCGCGCCCACCAAATCGACTCACGCGGGTCGCATGAGCTCTGATATGGCCAAACGAAAGCGCGGCGCTCGCGACGAGCCACCTCCTGCCGATATGGGACTCGGTGCGACACTGGCGCACATGCGCGGCGAAGCGCAATCCGACAATGCGGCAACCACCACGACTAACGGAGACGAAGAGGGCTGGACAGTAGTCAGCGGCTCGAAAAGGAGACGGAAGGAACGCGGATCGCACTCTGAGCACAACGGGCGCCGCGCCTCCAACTCGCCTTCGCCAGCTCGCAGTCCTGGCCATTCGCGCGACACAGATGGGCAGGGCAAGCGCAAAGCACGATCGCCACCGCCGCAGCAAGATGCAACTCCCGACAACCCATTCGCGGGCAAGGACACCCAACTAGGAAATCGCCTTTCCTCCACCGACAACCCGTTCGTCACATACAAAGCTGGCTCTGAGCAGTCAAGCGAGAACATGACCAGAGAGGAGCGCAGGAAAGAGCGCAAGCTGCAGAGGAGCTACCCAGCCATTGAGCATTCACATCATGCCCGCCTGAACTCGCACGTGAAGATCACAGACCTCCAGTCACTGGTGCTCTACTTGCTTGCTGACGGTAATGCGCCGCAGTGGGTTTCTGTACGCAGTCGTGCCAATATCCAACAGGTCGTCATGCTTATGGTTCCGGGATTGGACCTGGGTATGTTCAACGGCGATGTTGCTCTAGACGCCGCGCCTCAGTCGAACCCTTCTGTTGGAGCAGAGACAACAGATGCGCAGACTGATGCTGCGCTCACGGCTGCAAAGGCTGTAAAGGATGCACAGGCAGCAAAGCCCAAGCGGTTAAACATTTCGCGTGATGACTTTTATCCGGCTAGTCTCAAGGCCGAAAAACTACCTGCATCGCTGAAACCCCTCGCTGAAATCTTTGAGCATGTCTGGCCCATCAAGGCTATAGGCGAACATCGCAACAACCAATATATGAGGGTGCATTCGCCCATTCATACGATGCTAACCTCACAAATACCCAAGACGCAAGAAGAGAAGCAGATGAAGAAGACGGGGAACCACAAAGGCCCCTTGCCGCAGAACTCGAAGAACTGGGAAAACAAGCGCACACGCATCACCGAATACATCGCCAGTCTAATGGAACAGCAAGAGAACGAATATGTGCTACATCCAGCTATGTTCACCACTTCGGAATCCAAGGAGGCCAATAACGAGAGAAGGAAGCTTGCTCATCAGAGTGCTGATGACGGTTGGGTCGACACCAATGTCACTACCTTAGAAGATGCAGAAGTACCCGAGATGGAGATTGAACAAGGCAGTCTGACCGCTGGAAGACACATTATATCCGTCGACTGTGAGATGTGCAAAGCTGAGAATGACCAGCTTGTACTCACTCGCATCAGTCTATTGAACTGGGACGGCACTACGGCCCTCGACAAGCTTGTCAAGCCGGATGTCGCCATCAAGGACTACCTGACCCAATGGTCCGGTATTACAGCGGCCATGCTCCAAGACGTCACAACTACTCTAGCGGACATACAGAAGGAGCTATTGGAACTCATCACACCGCGTACAATCCTTGTGGGACACTCGCTAAACTCTGATCTCAACGCACTCAAGTTGACCCACCCCTTCATCATCGACACTGGTATCCTCTACCCGCACCCTCGTGGGCCACCATACAAGCAGTCGCTGAAGTGGCTTGCGCAGAAATATCTCAAGCGCGAAGTGCAAAAGGGCTCAGCAGGTCACGACAGTGTGGAAGATGCTCGGACATGTCTCGATCTAGTCAAACAAAAGTGTGAAAAGGGCCCGCGGTGGGGGTCGGGCGACACAAACGCGGAGTCTATTTTCAAGAGAATGGATCGTTCTGTACGACCAAAATCAAACGACGTGCATCGTGCCGGAGCTGTCATCGACTGGGGCGACCCGAACAGAGGTCATGGTGGCCAAGCTCGAGTTTCCATAGGCTGCAAGACCGATGAGGAAGTAGTAGAAGCTATTGAGCGTACAGTAAAGGGCCAAGCTGAAGGCAAGGATGGCACTACTGACAAAATCGACTTTGTCTGGGGACGTTTGCGCGAGTTGGAGCTTGCAAGAGGCTGGTGGGACGACGCCAAGACGGCCGACGTTGAGCTCATTCGACAGAATGCCTTGCAACGACTGGGTCTTCTGAAGGATGGCGAGGATACAGATGTTGAGGTTCACGGCCCTGAGCTCGGCGATGCCGTCTCCAAGACCATTGAACGCATCGGGCAGATATACGACGCTTTGCCACGCTGCACGGCCTTTATTGTGTACAGTGGGACAGGCGACCCTCGAGAAATCCGTCGCTTGCAAGCAATGCAACAGCAGTATCGACGAGAATACGCTACCAAGAATTGGGACAACCTCAGCGTCAAATGGACGGATACGGAGGTGCAGGCTCTCTCTAAAGCCTGTCAAGAAGCTCGCAACGGCGTTGGCTTTATTGTTGTCAAGTGAGGTACGAGTATTCGTACCTCGCGCGTGCTACGTGCAACGCAACGTGTCGTAGTACAAGGTGTCCAAGCGCATATCGCTTGACTGACACTCTCGGTCGTGGCGTATGAACGGATAATCGGGATGCATAGGCTGAGAGGCTGAATGCTTTCTAGAACATGCGTTGTGTTTTGCAATTATCGGTAGAAAGGATTAAACGCGAATAACCATCGTGCCAAGGGCACAAGTACTGCATGACATCAATCAACATCCCTGTCCACTTTCCCCTTACTTGGAGTTAAATTAGCGCAAAGCTTTTCGCCGCCTCACAGCGGGCGAAGATTGCGCAAATTCAACTCTGTAAAACCATAATCCCATCTTTGCCTGTGTGGAATCGCTGCCACGGTACAGCAGTGCCCTCAGCGACGATCATTCCGTCATGAGGGAGGCGGGTACCAGTTGGGACAATGCTGCTGACGACGACATGAAAAATGGCATGGATAAAAGCCAGAAACGAGTAGTCTGGCCCAGATATAGCTGCAAATGTAAATTCGGACATATAGCTATCATCCTGCATCGACATGTTATGCTAATTGGCCCATGTCGCGGATCAAACTTGGCAACCTGTAATCGTCGCAATTTGATGGTAATAAAGATAGCCGGCGCTTGGTCCCGGGATGAGTAAACTGCCCCATAACGATAGTGACTACCGATCAGGTGTTGGGATGCTGTGACACGAGTTCATACCTGTGCACGTCGACACATGCGTACCTCGGACGGTAGGGAACTGCTCGCATTCGATAGACGGACGAAATTACAGCTGAAGAGATCTGGCTGTTGCGCGAGATGGAACAGCTAGCGTGTTGCGCTTGCGACACGAGACGGCTTCAGGGCTTTTTCGCAATAGAGCGCATCTAAATTGATAGCGAGGCGCGCTAACCCCACTCGGACTCATGCATGGCTAATCATGGAATAACTCCTGCTAATTATTTCACTTGCCCTTTCCCTCCTCTGAATTAGCTCTCGTCTTTCAGGGTTCCTTCCAGTCTCCGCCGCAACCGCCTATTCTTGTTGGGGCCTACCATTTTTTCCTCTTCGCTTCCAATCTCACTGCGCTTGCTGAAACGCTATCCTGGACTGAGACGCGTCGTCGCGTACCCGAGACCGGTAGTTCAGCTTGCTTAGGCCCACCCTCTTTCATCCAACTTTTATTTGTTGCTATCTAGCACTTTTCGTGCAGCCTCTCCGCTCACTTGCAGCTATCGCCTAGGCACTGTTGTGTCAATGGGCTGCATCAATGGCGGGCTCCAGGCGATCCGGAATTGGCGAGGTGGAGTCAGACATGAATACACATGAACTTCAGCCATCACCACCAGAGGTTGTGGAGAGTGCTGATGAGGCCTCTCCACCTTCCCCGCCCACCAACCGTGCAACTAAAGCATACTGCAAGAATTGTCAGAAGTGCATTGGAGATTTCTACAACTCCTGGTACAAGGTCACCGGCAGCTACTTCGTTCCCGCCATGCTCGGCTCTTACAGTTCTACCTTACAGCCCATGGGCAAACTAAAAGCGGCGTCAAAAGGCACCGAATTAGCAGGATGGTAAGCTGAACCCAGACATGACATTGGTCCCTTCTCCCTTTACAATTGTTTGTCGCACCTTTCCCTCTTATAGCCTTGGCTGGCTATCAACAAACCCCAACACACGAGTTGGCGTATCCCGGCTGCCGATGGTTACATGGTATTTTAAGTTTCTTCCTCTAGACGCACCGACGCTAGCCTGCACCAAATCTTTCCACACTATAGATTAACATCTATTAGACGTGTACGCCCGCATTTTATGTCCCGCATTCCTTATTGCTATCCTTTCGTTCGCACAGC